TCCTGCTTGCTGCTGCTGGTGGTAGTGAAGAAGGAGCTGGAGGGAGTCATGGCTGGCAATGAGGGCTCACGTGCCCCTCCTCCTCCTCAGAGCCCCAGCCAGGCTAAAGAAACTCCTGGGCAGCTTCCTCGGGCTCTTGCCTCGGGCGGAAAATTTGATGCGGCCCAGCCTCACCCAGACTCTGCCTCCAGTGGCCCCCAAGTAAATTGAGTTTGAGACCCCTGGTTTAAAGCCTCTCTCTCTCTCTCCTCCTGCAAGATTCCTAGCAAAGTCAACTCTCTAAACCTCCTCTTTTAGGAAGAAATTTAAAAACCCTCCAGTTGTTGCTGGGCTACAATTTCGATCTACTGTACTCCTGAGCTCTGCCTTGAGCTGATGGCAGCTGTGGTCCCGCATGGCCTAGAAACCCCTTGGGCTACTGCTGTTCCCACTGATACCAAAACCGATTTGACACCTGCCAGAACCTGAAACAGAAACAGCAGGCTTGTGGCAGGGAGAAGAGGATAGAGGACATAGCCTTCTCTTGTTTGTTCCCACATCCTTTCCACTGTTCTATGACTTCCGTGGCAAATTTTAAATTATAATCTACGGAACATTCTCCTTCCCCGTCTTCTCGCAATTTGTCTACAGGCTCACACAGAATGATGTTCAAATTATTATTACTATTACTATTATTATAATTAATAACGGAGTGGATAAAAATCAGTGATTTTTTTAAAATCAAATTTATTTAAGTTAAAAATATATTTTGATTTAAATCGTCAAAAATAAAATTTTTATTTAAATCGTTAAAAAAATCCGATTTTTAAATCAAATCGATTGGAATCGAATCCATCCTGATTACTAATAACAATAACAATAATATCCCGCCTTCTTCCACTCTTAAGGCTCAATAATGATTTAACCATTAGTAATAACAATGTCTGATATTATCAGCAGCATATTTTGCTGGTGCTTTTCCACGCGTCCTTTCTCCGATTCCTTTCTAAGCAAATAGACAGCCTTGGCAATTCGCACAGCGCCCCCCCACACACACACACAGAAGGCTACCCATAGGAGGAGAGCCACCTGCTCACTCTCCGCTTATTCGCCGGACTCCGCAGACTGGCTGTCTGTCATGCATCCTGGGCGGGGTTAGAACAAGATCCGAAGCAAGGGAGGGAGGGAGCGCAGATGTAGTTGTTGCGTCATTTCTGTGCGACCAGAGACGAGGGGTGGAGGAAGTGGCGTCTCCTTGCCGCAACTGGTAGGGGGTTGGTCTGAATCGCTGTCATGGCCTCTGCTGAGGGAGAGAGCGGTTCAGCACCGCCCGCCGTTTCCGCCTTCCGGGGGGATTCGTCGGGAGAGCCGGTCGGAGAGATCTTGAGAGAATCGCTGCGCTCGCTGCCTAAGTTGGTGGGGCAGGTTAGTGGGGAGAGAGAGAAGCCCTAGATGCGCTCGGTGGGAGGGCGGGATGCCAAAGAGACGAGCGGCAGCTAGGCTCTGTGGGAAAGAGGCAGCCAGAGAGCTGGGAGAGGGGCGAGGGTGTGGTGGACGTTGAGGCTTCTTTTATGGGGAGACAGAAGAGAAGCCACCCTTTTAAACTCGGAACTCTTGCAGAACGTGGGAGAATTGCAGGGACATTAAGGCATTGATCTCAGAGAGTTAAAAAAGTTTCTGAAGGATGAAACGGGAGCGACCTGATCTCTGTGCAAAAGGGTGGTGGTTTTTCGAATGCCTTATTTCCATTTTTTTAACGCACTGATCTCCTTTTACTGCTTAAGAGTCAACAGCAGTTGCATACTTCAGGTTGGGCAAAAGGTAGATCTGGATTTACTGATGGATGTGTGGGTGACTTGGATGGAGCAGCTTGGCAAGGGTTCACCCCCATCACTGGAAAGGTGTTACTGAAGTGAGGAAAGCTTAGGTGAAATCCGGATTAGTTTTTTGCATGGAAGGATTGTGTGGTTCTCATTTTCAGACTTCATTTCTGGATTCAGAATGTTTTAATTCTGAGCGTATGTCTGTAGCATCTGTCTTCAGTTGGTAGATTTTAGGGTTTAAGTAAAAAAAGTCAATCTAACAAGCCTGAAGTCTGCCTCAGCCTTTGCAGGGGTTACCAGTTTTGTACCCTGATCCTAAATGTACCCTGATCCTAAATACACTACTTACCTATACAATATATCAAAATAACTATTATACTGGGGATTATTTATTGACTTTACTAATATGATTTCAAGTGACATACTTTAGCTTTTTGGGTATTTTTTTAATCAAGTGTTACCTTCATGTTTTATTTAGTTTTAATACCGTAGGTCCCTTGCATATTTTTTCTGTCCTGTTCCTTTTCATTTTACATAATAGTTACCAATGTGCAATGTAAGATCACACATTTGTGAAGTTGTTAGATACAGGCTTCTGTTTCTCTTCTTCCTTTCACCTTAAAAAAAATCTCCATGAGGAGTTGTGTGATGCTGGAACATACGTTGCTGACACATGCACAAAATATGAGTACATGAAGAATTGTGGCTCAAATTAAGTTTATACCCTGTTTTAAGGAAAGAAGAGGGGGAAATTGGTGTAAAATTCAACCTCTTGAAATTATCATTTCTTCTCACATGGCTTCAGATTTACACACACACACATACTCATATTATATTGCCTGCTCTTAGAAAGGATAAAAATCTCTTGGTTTTTAGGGCTTAGCTTATAATAGCTCTCAGAAAGCTGGTGCTATTAAGCTTGGCAAAGGCTGGCAAACAGTTCTATCTTCAGAACCTCCTTTGGTATCCTTGAATCTTTACTTGTATTTCAATCAAAGAGAAGCACATATCGATCAAGGAGTAGATAGATGATTTACTTTTAGCTGCGTGACTCATAAGATGTCTGGTGGAGAACAGTATCATTTATATTGTCCAGATTTTGAAAAGTGAGTTAAGAAGTTGGAGATGATGAAGAATCCTTTACAGCTTTGAAATGAATTGTTACAGTGACAAATAATTAAAAGGTTCAATAGCTGTGGTTGTGAGAAGCAGTCTGATCAAGGAACTTCAAGGAGGAAATAGAATTGGTCTGTCATTAAACAGTATTGTGATACGCTTCTTCCAAAAGGCATCTAGTGGGTGGAAATGAGATGGATGGAAACTAGTTGTCTGGCTCATTGAACTGATGTTTTTCCCAGTGGATAAATGTTGGATTTACAAATGGGAAATGTGGGCTCACATCCTCATCCCTGGCCTGGGTTGATTTTGTGACTTTTGCCATAACTCAGTTTAAGTTTTTAAAAAAGTAACTTTTCCATGTTTCAGACAAATATGATCTCCATTAAAATAAAAAGCCAAAACAAAACACAACAAAAATTGATTGCAACAAGAACTGGCTGGAAAATAGAGAAGAAACTGAACCATTGTTTATTTGTTTGTATGCAGTTAAAACAAATTCAGTGCTAAAATGCAATCCTTTATTTAAATAAAAATAAAGAGGGAATAGCCACTATTGCAATGGGACCATGAAAATGCAGCTGGTTCTTACTGCCTGTTCCAACATTATCTTCTGGGGACTTCTGAACCAAAGGACATATAATAACTTGATAAAGATCTCTTGTTGATTGTAGAAATAGTTTCTTTAGTTCTATAGTTTTAAAAATAGAATCTGTAATTATCCACATGTTTCCTTATAAGTATCTCTTATTGTAGTTAGTAGGCTTCTGTTTTGGAAAAGAAAATTGGAGAGTGTAGGTCACTAATGCTGTAGTGTGTATTAATTAAACAAAGGACATATAATAACTTGATAAAGATCTCTTGTTGATTGTAGAAATAGTTTCTTTAGTTCTATAGTTTTAAAAATAGAATCTGTAATTATCCACATGTTTCCTTATAAGTATCTCTTATTGTAGTTAGTAGGCTTCTGTTTTGGAAAAGAAAATTGGAGAGTGTAGGTCACTAATGCTGTAGTGTGTATTAATTAAATGTATTTATTTATTTATTTATTTATTTATTTATTTATTTATTTATTTATTTATTTATTTATTTATTTATTTATTACATTAATATGTTCTCCTAAATGAAATATCTTCACTTGTCACTGGAAGGGAAGGGAGGGCATTTCACAACCTGGGAGCAGCCAAGGCGAAGGCCCTTCATGGTGAGATGGGATTTGAACCCTACTCTTCTTAGATTCCAACATGGCTTATTTTTACACTGCACTAACTTGCTGATGCAAATCACATTAGTAAATTCTGACTGCTCTTGTAGAAAATAAATCACACTTTTGAAGTTCTTCAGCAGGATGAGCAAACTGCAAACTGCGTTTCACCTCAGACCCATTTTGTAAAGCTCTAGCCACTGAATTTGATGGTTCAGTGTTTTCATAACCAGATATTTTAAAGCTAAAATAGAATACAGTATGTGGGAATGCATACCTCACATTTCTGAAAAATACAACTATGAAAATTGTTTTTTTTTTTAATGCACCTGGAAGTGGGAGAAAACAATTTCAGTTGCTGCAGCAGAGATGTGTGTCATCTGTGTCAAGATTGGGAGGGCCAAAACTTGCCCATCCCTGTAGAGTTTCTACTCCTCAACTGTCTTGGCAGAAAGCATACTGTGATTCCCTGAAAATAAGACAGGGTCTTATATTCAGTTTTGCTCCAAAAACGCATTTGGGCTTATTTTCAGGGGATGTTTTATTTTTTTCATGTACAACAATCTATATTTATTCAAATACAGTCATGTCATCTTCTGGTTGCTGCACAATGGTGGAGACACGGGGTTTCACTTAACTGGGACTTATTTTGGGGGTAGGGCTTATATTATGAGCATCCTGAAAATTCATGCTAGGGCTTATTTTCAGGTTAGGTCTTATTTTTGGGGAAACAGGTTGTGAAGATGGTTATACCTGTACTGAAAGGAACATTCCTGAGAGTGGCTATTAATTTAGCTCCATGTGTGCACCATTGTATTCTCCTTTTTTGGTCTGATCTTAGGAACAGTGGTCCACAGTAGAAGCTAGCATACTTCAAAACTGAGCAAGGTAAAGCTCATGTTAGGAGGGGTGTTTTCTTCCTCTTCACTTATTTGGTTCAGGTTGAAGTGGAAAATGTGAGCTTCCTAGAGCTATCTCAGCATAAAGACTTCAATAATGTTTTGTTCAATAAACAGTGGAACCGTTTCTATTCTGTGGTGTAATTGGTAGACTGTGCCTGCTTGTTCGGTGGTAAGCTAGATTCCTGAATGGTCTTGCTGGATAAGGATGATGGAGAGGGCTTGAAAAATTTTAGAATGTCTCACCAATCCAATCAAAATTTCCCCAGTCAGCATGACTGGACTGTAGCCTTGCAATTTATGAGAACTGGGAATCACTGACTTATACCCTCAGACTTGGGTTGCTTTATCACCTGCATGCCTGTGGGGTCATGAAGCTTGTATTTTGAATGCTTTTCTTTTGAATGCCTCCAGCAAAAATAAAACTGAAAGCAAAAGTGGCCGGCCTAAGGAACCACGGTTCGCTCCCACCCCAGGATGTGTCCTTGCTCGATTGAAATTGGAGTATGGAATCTCCATATTCTCCAGCATGGGACTACTTTGCATTCTCCTGCAGAGCTATATCTCTATGTACTACTAAAACTCTCTTCTCATGAGAAGAGGGCAGTTTTCCTTTTGCAATGGGAGGGGGAGGGGAGGACTGCAGGATTAGAGAGAGAGAGAGAGACAGGCTGAGGGGAAGGAAGCATTTTTCACTCGTCACAGACAAGTGGACAAGTTCATTTTTCAAGCCCTGATGATGGAAGTTATAATCTAGTACAGCAGAGGAGCACTTGGTTGGGAAAGGCATGCCTGTGGCTACTAGTACTGATAGGTATACCAAATCTTCAAGTTCTGAGTCACATGCCACTGAATACCAGCTAATGGCAAGCAACAGCCAAAGTTGGGTGACACCTTTAATATTTGTGGGCTCCCCATAGGGATCTGGTTGGATGCCCAGGGAAGCGATTGCTGGATTTGATGGATTTGTGCTCAGATCCTGGAAGCCTTTTCTAATATTGGTCTGGAGAGAGATTCACATTCAGATCTTAACCTTTCTTATGTAGATGGCAAGGCTGTATAGCAGAACCCTCTTGTGACATGGTTTGTTTGGCTTTTGAAGCTTAATCTTGGAGAAGATGTGGTGAAAATTAACATCGACTGGAGCAAGCTTCAACATGCATCACCATTTCAACCCACATTGCTCTTTACTGCTTTGCAGCAGCATATTTCAGCTTTACAGGTAAATGGTTTTACTGGGCACTTTACAAAATCCAGTTACCCCAATTAATCCTAAAATGCAAAGTCTCCACTCCAGTGTTAAGACTGCTACACAAGAAAAGCACACATCTAAGGTTCTGCTGTGCTTCCTAAAGGGATAAAACCTGGTATGTTAAAACACTTATTTGAAGTTCTGTAGGAATAGCATTGTGGAAGCTACTATGGATAAGTAGATTGCACAAATGCAGTCCTGTTGATTTCCACACTTCCATTGTAAATACAGTACATTTCCATCTGTGGTGGGTTATAATTAAGCAATAACACGGCAGGTGTGTGTCACGCTATGATAATGATTCCATGCGTTGGGTTGAGTTATGCGGTTTGTGGAGAGCTTTCAGTGGATCAAGAAGTTACATTATCCCAGCATGATACATCCTGGTGTGTGTGTCTGCAATTAACTGTATTTCCAGCACAGATATATATTTTTTAGTTCTCAGATATTTAATGTTTCATCTTGTCAAGTAACCCGATTGCTCAGTTTTGTTACTTACATATTTTCCCATCTTTATTAGTCTTAAATCAGACTGCATACATTAGTTCTTGTTTGTTGAATGTCATATTGGATCAGTTACCAGTGCAAATCTTGCGGCCCCTGCGTGGTGGTCAAAAAGAATATATCCATAATTGCTTTGCTCCCTTATTGAATCAGGTTATGATTTGTCAGCACTCAACTGCATATCCTGTGCAAGCCACACTGGGAAAACCAGAATGTTTTTCGTTCATTTCCCTTATGTCTTTGTTGGCCTATATGGTTGCATTTAATTTGGTTGTCATTTTAATTAATCGTATTATTAAAAATAAAAAAGTATGCAGACTTTCTGGTCAGCGCTCGAGTGCTGTTGTTTCATAGTATGACATATTAATGGTCTTGTATCTTGAAGACACTAAATTGATTCTACTTTTCCAAATTTCCTGTCAGTAGGAATCAGAGCATAAATCTAAACTTGTAGTGCTATTATAATCCCAGTTATATTGCGCTGCGAGTGATTGTTGACATAAATGTTATATGCCACCATATTACTTGCAGTTTATGATGACCCTGTAAGTGAGTAACTTGAAAAATATTGCATCATTAATGGTCCTGTTCTGATTTTATACAGATTTCTTTACTGAGTCAGTCCAACTGTTAGGTTTTCCTATTTTCTGACATTTTTGTCTTTCAATGGTAGCCTCAGTTTGTAGCTTATCACTTTATACATTTTGAAACTGGATGTTTTGCAAGTGCTGTTTGGTTATTATTTTATTTGTTGATTCTGGAGGTTTTAAAGAAATTAACAGGTGAAGAAAAATTAATGAACTTGATTTTGTCTTGTAGTGCATTTGTTGTATGGCTTTTGTGTAAAATTTAAAAGAAATAAAGAAACAGAATTGTTGTTTCTTAAAAAAAATTAAATGACTGAGAGAAAAAGGAGCATTTATTCCCTTCCCTTCATATTGGCTAGGTTGTTAAATGCATGCGTCTGAAGCACAATATTTGTATTCCCTCATGGGTTTTGGGAGGCTGCTTTTTTGAGTGGAGATGCTGCCAGTGATGTGATGTTAAAGCTATAGCTTTAACAGCATAAGAGTATTGGCTCTCTTCTTAAGGAGGAAAAATGTTCAATGTTCTGAATAAGCATTTGAATGAGATGTAAATTAAGTGGTATTGGTGCCAAAGGCTGCTGCTTTGATTCTGTACAAAACAGATGAGTAACCGACAGATTTGCTCATATAGTCTGGACCCACCGGAGATGTTTTTTTAAAAATACAGAAATTAGTAAAAGACTGATCAAAAGGCAGTAACACTTGGAGATGCTATATTTTCATTCTAGTTTGATTGGATTACATACACAAAGGTGGTAGCATATGCTCCGTGCAATTTTAAAAAGAATTGTTTTAGAAATTGTAGTTTTAACAAGTGTTACTGTCAGTTGAAGAGACACTTGTCCAGCAGACCAAGACAAAGAGGCAGTCCCAAAGCCAGCAAGATCAGGGAGCTGGACAGGGGACCGATTGTCTTTGTCTTCAGTGTGGAAGGGATTGTCACTCTCGCATTGGCCTTCTCAACCACACTAGACACTGTTCCAAGACCTCTATTCAGAGCACGCAACTATAGTTTCTCAAGACTGAAGGATGCCTAATCTAATGTTAATCTGCATTCTTTTTTTTTTTCTCTTTGCCAAGCCATTTATAGAGAAACTCCAGTCTTTAATTAAAGAAGAAAGCACTGCACTGGTTACTGATTCCAGTAAGACAGAAGACAGAAAGTGTGAGACTAATTCAAATGTAACTGATAAAGAATTGCAAATGGAAGAGAAAAGCATGGCCTGTGGTTCTGCAAATGTGAAAATGTCTCATGTTGATTTTGACCCAGAAGTAGTCCAAATAAAGGCTGGAAAAGCTGAAGTGAGTTGTGAGTCCCCAAGTCTGGACCATTCTTCTTATTTTGAATGGGAATAATGAAATCTAAATGCAAGTTGTTCTGTTACCCACAGATTGAAAGACGAATATCAGCCTTCATTGAAAGGAAACAAGCTGAGATCAATGAAAACAACGTCAGGGAATTTTGCAATGTTATTGATTGTAATCAGGGTAACTATCCAGATGAGTTTTAATTTTCTTATCCTTTAAACATAATCTTTTCCCTACCTTACACTTCAACAGCTCCTTTTCAAAGTTCTTGAAAAATAGGCAAAGTATGCTACCTGTTAACAATGTAAAAGCTGTTAAGGCAAAGTATTTTCTACTATGGCACTCAGTGATTCAAGCTAGATAAGTCTATCTTTTCCTGCAGTGAGCGGTGGATGAAGCTTTTCCATTGCTGTTTAGGCCACAGGCTGTTGGTGGTTTTCCACTTGCCTGCTTAATGTTAAGTAACTCTGATCTGCACTCGTTAATGATGAAGTCCTGATCATTATCATGGATGTTGTTTCCAAGTATATGTGCTGCTTTTTTCAGTGCATTTTTGATGCTTTTCTTTAGATTATAGCACCTTTATTTACCTATAAATCAAATGTGATTTGGGATATAATCCTGTAGCCACTTTTGTGAGAATAAGTCCCACTGTGCTCAGTGTGAGTTACGCCAGAGATGTGCAGATTTCACTATTAACTATTATACTATTAAATTTACTGTGAATTTTACCAATACATGTACTGAGGAAGGGTACATATATTGAGAATGACTTGACCATCCTCACCATGAATATAAGCACTGTTGTTCCAAGTCTATCGTCACAAGTCTTGTTTTTCTGCAGTTCATTTCTTATTGATCATATTTTGTGCAAGTAGCTGTTCCTTCAAAATAACTAATGACTGTTTTTATAGTGTACTCTACTTTAAAGTCTACTCTAGGTTCAATGATTATATAATAATAATCATAATATTAGAACTGCATAGCTAGAAGGGACCGATTGGATCCTCAAGTCCAGCCCCTGTCAAGGGGACACCCAACCTCGGGCTCTGCAGTCAGGAACCTAAATCACCGAGCTATCCAGCACTTGGGGGTATGGAAGAATTACGGGTTTGAGGAAGTATGCATCACATTTCATATGTTAGGTTTTATACAGATTAAAAGCTTTGTAAAAACATAAAGCAAGGTGCAGCAGTACTGATTGTAAAACACAGCTGTTCATTTTAGTTGAATATATACTTGCGTAAATAAAAAAATAAGTACATTTCAGTTGGTTTGTAGTGCCTGACCATGGAGCCATGGACCATGGATTGTGCCTCTAGGCAGTGAGACCAGCTAAGATTACCCAGAGTGTATGAGGCTGGTAGGTGGTGCAGTCTTGGGCAAGTTGCGCAGTCCCAGAGCGCCATCAGAAGAGACTGTTTAAAGCACTTCTAAGTACTTTGTATCTAGAAAAAAAGTTAGATTCAACTTTAAGGCACTTCATTTAATAAGTTAGATTAGCAAAAGGGGTGTGTGTGAAATGGCTGTGCTTCCATTTCCACATAGAAACAGGAACACAGACTATGTGTACAGTGTAGCTAGGAGAACAGTTGACATACTACTAGTTGAATTCTTAATCTTGCTCTAAACATAAGAGCCCTGCTAGATTAAACAAAGTGACAGTCTAGGGTAGGTCAAACAGATGCTTCTGAAAACCTACAAGCTATGTTTGAAGGCAGTTATCCGATCCCACTGTTACACTTTACCATCTCTGTTCAATGACGTATTGTCTTTGAATGCGGTAGTTCTGTATAGATATCATAGTTATGATTCCCTCTAATAGTAGCTTTAAATCCCATCTCAGTTTCCATCTCATGGACTACAATTCCCATTTGCATAGGAACTGGCCAAAAACTCTGTTCCCTTGCAGGGGCTACCCACTGGGTTACTTTGCCATCTGAACAGCAGCAAAGGAGCATGGATAAAGCCTCCTCAGTTATGGTGATCAGATTGTTCTTGGTCCTCTCATCGTTCACTTTCATTGGACAGTGAAGACTGTTTAATTCCAGCAAGAGGCCTCATTACGTAGCTGCACTAGATATTTTATTTCTGAAATCCTGTTCCTAAGCGTAGTAATATGCACTAGAGGAGGTCCATTAAATCAGTGGGACTTTGATGAATCAGCTTCTCTGGAAGTTCCAATGGGCCACCCTGACTGCAAACTATTTTAGCATATTATTGCAGTTAGAGTAGGCCCATTTGACTCAATGGAATATGTATTCAGTAGGTTACTCTAGTGCTACTTAATATACTAAGCAACAGGATTTCAGCCATTATCTTATACTTTATAATTGTGTGCATTATGATTTGTAACTTTTTATTGTGACTAGTTTTGAGCATACTGTTATACACAGGCAAGCTGAAATTATGTGAAAAGGGTTATCCTGCAATGTTTATCTGAAAAGAATTATAACAGTTCGATGAAACCTGGTACTGTACTGCCTGGACTGTATTTTCCCTGCCTTCCCTGAACCTTTCTTGACCTAAGAAAAAAAGAAACAAAATATCCCCCTCTAGTGGTTGAAGGCGGAATAGCAGCTTCCCATTAGTTTCTATGGACGGAAAAGAGCAGATACGGATCAAATGGTTTTCAATGCATTCCTATGGGAAATGCAGATTTGACCTGAGAACTTTTTGACTTGAGAACCGCCTTCCAATACGGATTAAGTTCTCAAGTCAAGACCCCACTGTATTTTGTAGCAAACTTCCTTTTTTGAAGTCTCCATGAAAAGTCTTATCTCCTTATCCCCAAATTTAAGACTTAGCTTACAGGCCTGCTTTGTTACACTTTTGGAATGAGTTCCAGACTTCTTGAACAGTTGCACTTAGGATCACTTTTTAAAAAATTTTTCAGAAAATAGCTGCGCTAGGACTGATGCCGTGTTCACACCTTACCCAGGATTCAAAAGTCATGTGAAGGGTGAGTACTGCTATTAATGGTATCTGTTGTTGTACTTTATGAGCATTTCTTTTTTGTTATATAAATACCACTTTCAAAATGGCACGGTTCCATTAAATAGGTTGTTAAAATAAATTGGTTCTATATTCTCTATACCTTTCTCTATTTTCTTTTACTTAGGAACTGGCTATTTTGCTCTCTTTTCTAAGCTGAAGCATTGGTGCATGCTTATTCAGAAGCAAGTCCCTGCTGCGTTCAATGAGACAATGAAGTGTTGTTGGAATGCAGCTTCATGTCATTTTGCAAACCAGTGGCAGAAAACTTATTCAGCTGCTTTAGTAATGTTTTGCCATTCTGTATTAAACTTTACTCTGTAGAAGCCTGAACTTGAAATGGGTAACTGTTACTTTCTATTTCTGTAAGATCTCTTGTCAACTCCCTAAATGCTTCCGCCACCCTAGTTAGTGCAATCCTAGAACACCTCCAATGCACCCCTTAGTTCAGTTTATTATTGTTTTAAAGAAATGGCCATTTCTCTTTTGCTGAGCTAATTGTTCTTCCTTCCCCATCAAGGCGCCCTTTCTTTTTCTATTCCCTTGGCCAACAAGCTGATCCTGCACCTCAGTTTTCTTTCTCTTTTCTTTTGCTTCATTTCAGTAAATCCCCACTCATTTTTTCCTCACTGCTCTTTCTCTCCTTTCATCCCAGTGTTCATTCATCCATTCCCCCTGCTAACTCTAGTCTCAAACCAGACTGCAGGCTTTACTCTCTCTTTCTTTAAGTTCCCCTCCAGAAGGAAGGGGCAGTTATGCCCCTTACACTATTTTCCTAATTATGCTTCTGTTCTATGAGAACTGCCTAGAAGCCTTCAAAAGATATAAATATACCAGGCTTGACTAGCTTTTTCTGATTAGAAAAGATAGTACTTCATCTTATATTCAAATTTGAATTAATTAAACAATTGGGTCGGTGTGACAAAATAAACACAGGTTGCATTTCCTTTGGGTCACCATTTTGAGCAAGGCAAGTTCCAGGTGTCTGGATTGCATGATTTTGGAGCTATGGTGCAGAGAGACAGACACAGTCTCACTTGTCTATTAGTAGAAAGTATTTCTTTAGTTCTTCTTTGTGCTGTTTTAAATGTTTTATGATTCCTTTGTTGTATTTATGACTGTGAAATATTTTTAAAAGAGTTCTATTTATTATCTGCTATTTGACATTAGTTACCTAAGGCATATTGAGGGAAGATAATTTAACTGATTTAAGTAACTCCTGTTAGACAATATTTTAGGGCTCAACAATAGGTGAATCACATCTCTTAAGGTGACCCTTGCTGATACTCTGAAAATCTACACACCATTCAAAAATATTTAATAAAAGCTTAATAAAAGATAATTTACTACATTGAAAGTATATTGTACTATGTAATTTATGATGGGTATAGTCCAGCAGGGAATCATCTAGTATGCCTGACAAGAACAGTGCAAAGTAATAATGGCCATTTACAAAGAATTAATTAGGTGGAAAAGTAATGGTGAAGAGAACTAAAGTATAAAAGGCTGAATAATTTAGCCACCACTAATGCAGCACGATACAGTACTGTATGGAGAGCCAGTGTGATGTAGTGAACGATGTTGGACTAATACTTCGGAGAGTTTGGTTGAATTTCCTGCTCAGCTGTGGAAATTCACTGGGTGGTGGCAATGGTGAACCATTCCTTGAACGTCTGCATACATTGGAAACCCTGCTAGGGTCTCCATAAGTTAGAATTGACCTGAAGGCATATAAAAACAATAACTAGTTAAATTAGGGCATAGTGCAGTTTAAAGCTTAGACAGAATCATATCATTAGTATGATGTTCTGTAATTAAGTCAGCAAGCCTTTATACATTGGACCCTTGACTTACAGACTTTTTGAGTTACAGACTTCTCTGGCCGCAAAATTTAGGTTTGACTTGCAGACTGAGATTTGACTTACAGACCAGAAAAAAAACAAAATGGAACAAAAACGGCCTGTTACGGGATTAATCGGTTTTCAATGGTCAATGGAGACTTGACTTACAGACTTTTTGACTTGAGAACCGCCTTCCAATATGGATTAAGTTCTCAAGTCAAGACCCCACTGTATACTAGCCTGTGACATTTTAGTAGAAGAGATAACATTGCACTGCAAAAGGTGTTACACTTGCTTGTTCCCTTCAAGTGCATAAATACTGAACTGGTGCTTTTTCAAATCCTAGTTTCCCGCGTTCTAAATACCTATGGCCCTCAGACTAGAAGTGAAGGTGCTTTTGGGTCCAGTCATAAAAGTAACAATACCCCTCATGACTGTGGGAATCAGGCTGTAGAAGAGAGACTACAGAACATTGAAGCTCACCTAAGGTTACAAACAGGTTTGTAGAAAAAGTTTATATTTGAACTCAGTGTTATGACTCAAACAATGCATCTGAAAGCAGCAAAAATGTGAATTCAGACTGTCCCTTGTGCTACAGTTCTTGCTTTTGGACTCCCACCAGTCCCCCAGGATAAAGAAAGGAATGGGTAACTATGGCCCTCCAGAGGTTTTTAGACTTCAGTTTCCAGATCTCTCATCATTTGCTGCATCAGCCAAGGGAAATAGAAATTAGAGCCTGAAATAATTGGGAGGGCTACCATTGCTTACCTTTGTCTTGATTCATGGATTTATAAGTACAACACATTTCATTCCCTTTCCGAGACATCAAAGCAAAATATTGAAGAGGTACAGCTCACATTTATATTTAAAACCCTGGTTCTGCACTTGAATATATGAGGGGACATCCCCAACAGCATCTATGAAATCAGTCTTCCTAGAAATCAAAGAAGGAGTTAGTATTTAAAACATCGCTATTTCATGGTACCTTCCCCATACCCCCTTTGTTATGTTTACTTCTTGGCTGAAAGATTGATCTTATAGTCTATATTGAAATCTACTTTTATTTTTTCAAACTTTCCTAATCACATTTGCTTTTCTGTCATTTTTCAATTTTTTTAAATGTAATTCAGGTGGACCAGTGCCAAAAGATATTTATCAAAGGATAAAAAAACTTGAAGATAAAATTCTTGAACTGGAAGGAATGTCTCCTGAATATTTTCAGTCTGTGGTGAGCATATTTAAGCCTAGGCCTCATGGTCTTAATATTCTGAATGTACTGTAATTTTTGCTCCATAAGACTCACCTCCTTTTTAGGGGAGGAAAATAGGAAAATATTCTGGCAATTTTGGCCCGCTGGACCCGCAGGGGTGGAGGTGGGGGGGAGCCTTGGCAATTTTGGCCCGCTGTACCCGCAGGGGTGGAGGAGGGTCCTGGAAGGAACCCTTCTGAGGCTCCCCTCCCCCCCTCCCCCCAGGGCCAGCAGGGGTGAAATTGCCAGCTTCCAGGACCCTTCTGAGGCATTCCAAGCCTCAGAAAGGTCCTGGAAGGTTGTGATTTTGCTCCCGCTGGCCCTGCGGGGGGGGGGAGCCTCCAAAGGGTCCAGGAAGGCACTCTTGGACCCTTTGGAGGTTCCCCCTACCCCCCCATGAGGCCAGCAGGGGCGAAATCGCCAGCTTCCAGGACCCTTCTGAGGCATTCCAAGCCTCAGAAAGGTCCTGGAAGGTCGCAATTTATCCCGTTGGTGCCGCGGGGGGGGTAGCCTCCGAAGGGTCCTGGAAGGCACTCTTGGACCCTTCTGAGGCTCCCGCCACTGGGCCCTGGGGAGCGCTGTTTTACAGTTCACTCCATATGACAGACACTTCCCCCCCACACTTTTTTTTGGGGGGTTCGCTCCATATGACAGACACTTCCCCCCCACTTTTTTGGGGGGGGAGTGCATCTTATAGAGCAAAAAATATGGTATATGTGAATCTTTGCAGTAAAGGAAAATACAATTGTTCCAGTCCTGCAATTTTTTTCCAGGCACATGGTTTTCAAGATTGTCTCCTTGGGTTATGGTTAGAGTTAAAAGGGATAATGTGATGAGTCTCTTTTCAAGGATAACTGGGCTGCTAAGAGATACAGCCATTAGTGATGGGAAAGGGATTTGCTTTTCTTATAGGGAATATTTAATATTATATTATGAGCACTATAGTAGTAGTAAGACTACTTTATTTGGTTTTCTTTTTATAGAATTTGTCTAGCAAAAGAAGAAAAGCCCAGCAAACCCAAGTGAGTACTTTTGAGTTTTGAGGGGGTTTTTTTGCAATTACATATCCAAAGAAACGTCTCCTCCTTCAAATCTCAGGGGTAAAAAGCAATATATTTCATCTAACTCCCACAAATACTTTGTTCATCTAACACTTTGTTGATCTAACACTTTGTTCAGTTATGATTCACATTCTTAAAATTAACCTTATTTCGTAAGTTTGGCAGTGGGCTTAACTCATATTCCTATAGTAGTACTATCAAAATTGGCTTCTAGATTGAACATGAGTCAGGCATGTAGGCTGCTGGAAAATGACTGTCAGTATACTGTTCTGGATTGGAATTAGTGGTGTTATTCCTCCCTGGGGTAGTGGGTGTCTGACAGTACTGGGTATAGATACTTTCCATACAACCCATGGAAAATTGAATGTAATGTTAGCTGTGTGCATTTCCAACCTTGGAGAAGTGGTTTTGGACATCATTCCACAAACACTTGATAAATCAGCCCTAAGATAGTATTTGATTTAATACAAAGCCCTTTTTTACTGAACTGTGTTCTTCAGATTGCTATAAATTGCTAACATTGCATTTCTATTCACAGTGTCACACATTTGTTTGACATCTTATTATTACTAAATTGAATTGGCTCTGACTTTCCTCTCTCAAAATACGCTTATTCAAGTCCTAAAATATTTCAAACTTACATTATAATCATCCCACTGACATTATCAAACTAGTTTAGAACGAGCGCCATGCCTTCACTCTTTCGTCTTACACTCCAATTTCAATGCTTGGATTGTGATCACTTAAGCAACAGCTGATTTAATGCTGGATTCCAGATTACAGCAAGAAGCCAGGGTTTATATAATAGTCTCGAGTCCAATCCTGCCCCCCCTCCTTTTTTTTGGTTTCTGAAGTAAAGTGAGGCTGTGGTTTGACATAAGCATTCTACAAGTGCTGAATGACTGTGCAGGGTAGTGTGGGCGTGAGGCTCATATTCTGCAACTGTGACATCCAAAGTGGACATCATCTTTTTCAAGCTCAAGCTGTGCTTAATGTAACAAATGCAGCAAATCCAAAATGTTAACATTTCTTTCTTTCTTTTTTTCTTGAATGACAGAACTATTCTTTGGCTGAACTTGATGAGAAGATCAATGCACTTAAGCAAACAATCCTGAGAAAAACAAATGAAGGGAGGCCCAGTGTGGTTGATCAGCTTCTCTGAGTACAGCAATGTGACTTCAGTATGCTTTCATGTGTACTTAACTCCTTCAGACTGTCTGAGTACTGTTTATCTAAGCACTGTGGTAAAGAAAAGAAACAGTGCATATGAATTCATCTTAATCTTATTGGATATCTAAACCAAGTGAGTTTCTTTGTTGTTCAAAATGAAGAATGTTTTGGAAATAGGATTGTAAATATTTATTTCCTTCTATTGGAAAGGTGGATCTGTACAACTGTTAATAAAAGAAATTTTAGCTTTCCAGATGAAAGTAACCCTATGTTTTGTATGTGGTGTCCACTGATCAGAAAACTGCCCCTTGCAGTGCAGTTCTGTCAAAACATGTGAAATGTTCATATAAATAGTGTAAAAAATGAGAGACAGAAATAAAGACTTGGTTCATTTACTTGCACATGTGGTCTCCTAATGGAGATGGCAGTAGAATATTTCACAAGTTATTACTGAGGGCCTATAGAGGTAATCCATATAACTATTTTAGGGAGCAAATTGACAACAGTAAATGATTACCTTCAAAGGTTTAAATGGAGCCAGCAGACCTTCCAATTTCACTCTGTGAAATGCTGGGCCCAAAGTTTTCGAGTTATCTTGTCATGAGGACCTTTCACTCAAGATGCCAGACCTGAAGCTGTGAAGGACTTCTACAGGCAACATGTATACTCCTTTAGCTCGCCTGTAAGTAGGGAAAAGTAAAACATAATTATCTCTACAGTTAAGTGGATCTTCATGGAGAGTAAGTATACCAAAATTGCCAGTATCCATTTCATAACCTGGCTTTTTGGCAGCAAAAGTTTTGTGTTCTAAACAAGGTCCTCTGCTATTGCCTCAAAGTAACTAACTAGGCAACTGAATGAACCAGTGCCCCTGTGTTCTTCCAGTGGGGATAGAGTAATCGAGCTCCAGTATATTTGTCACAAGATGTGGGTAAGATAAACTATTTGAAGCTACAATGCTCATTGACATCTGAACTGAAAATTCAAGGAGGGAAAGGAAATTGTAAATAGAGAAACTATATGAGCTATAGATAATTAGTTAATAAAGAGGGTATTTTCGGACTGACCAGGTCTCCTGTGGTACCTGTTTTGTGGTTGTAGCCACAACATTTCTGCTGAATTTCAAATGTGCCTTCCAGAATCCTGGGGATATCCTGTCCTAGTTGATGCCTGGAGATATTCTGAGCACTTGGAACAATTGCTTCTTGAAATTTCATACAACTCAGAAAAATGTATATGGACTTGTTGCCCTAGAAATTTACTTTCTACCAATATCATTACACCTCTGACATCTAACAATATTTTACTATTATAGTTAAGTTTTTTTAAGGAAGAATTTTTTGTGGTTCCTGCTTCTTTTTACTTACTTTTAGAGAAACCAGAATAAAGCATACTGCTCTATAATCTGTGTCATCATCACTTCAACAGCCCACAATAAAGTGTAAATAAAGATTGGTTGTAACGACCAGATAGACAGAGTTTAAATGAAATTAAATAAATAAATAAATAAATAAATCAGCAACACATGAGCCAGTACTTGAAACATGATATAGCCTTCCTTTTCCATTTTGTGTGGTCACAGTCTGGTGGTTGTTACAAGTACAGTATAATGTGATGTAGTTACACCTTATTTTCTGGAGAACGGATACTTCAAATCCAAATTCTGGTCTTAAAACCAAAGAAATGGTGGAACTTTATGTCATCTGGGATTGCAGCTGGTGAGTCTTGTGAAAAAGCAGATCTGTAACTTGGTAGAGCTTGAAAGTCTTAGGTTTTCCTGAGTCTGCAGGTGGAAGTGGTGGTCAGGTTTGGCTGATATTCCAGTCACATCCCCTCCTACAGAAGAGTCTGGCTTTGTTGCCACCACTGCGCCTGCTCTAGTATCCTCTGAGTTTGCGTATTAGAAGAGTCACTATACTGGATAGCCTGTGGAGTCAATGCAGAATGTTCAGTCCATCCAAGAAGGCAATCAGATACCACTCTCACTACTTCTAGGACAAGATAATCTACCCAGAAGCTGTTTTAGTCTTTAGTAGCAAAAGAAAAGCCAGATGTCTTGTAGCACCTTTAAGACTACAGTAATCATTTTTTATTTTTTATAAGCTTTTGTGTATCCAAGCATACTTCTTCAGATTAATGGAGTGACTGTGTCTCTGGAGGGATTTTAAAACTGTTGGCCGGAAGTTTAAAACACACTATCTGTGAACAGTTTTAAGTTAACTTTCTCATCATAAGCTGAAAGATCTGAAGGAGTGTGCCTGGACGCATGGAATCTTATGAACAATTTTAAAAGTACTTGGTTTTAAAGGTGTTACAATAGTTCTGGTTTCTCTACTGCTTTTAGGCCAAGTCAGCAGATGTTTCTCTTCAAACTGGCCATTTGAACTGTTCTGCTGTATACTGGTTATTAATTACTTTAATGGCTTTCATTGTTGTGCTGTTTTAATAGTTTGTTTTTTTATTTTTTTCTAGGCTAGTTATAAATTTTTCAAAAGTCTTTAGGTGCCTTGTGCTGTATTTTTTTAGTGAAAAATATAATGCATGAATAGATGGACAAATATCAGCTTCCAGGGACATATTCATTTGTTCATTATATTCATATCTTTCATTGAACTTAAGGCAGCTTATATTGTTCTTCCTGCCCATCTTTATCTGCCCAGTAAAATAGGTCCGACTCCCCCAAGGACATCCTGTGAGTTTCATAGCCCAGTACAGACTTGATCCTGTGTCTCGCATGACAGTCCAAATTCTATGCTATAACCACCACACCAATGTCCCCTCTAATTTTCAGCCCTCTGCCTCTCGTGTATGTGACTTCACCCCTATGTGTACACATGCCATCCCCCCTACGCACAGGATTCCCTCATGACCAGAACTGCACCAAATGTGATTGCTGTACAGAGGAGGAAGGGAGGTACGCACAAGGAGGTGGAGTTGTGTACATGCATGTGTGCACCCAGCTTAGAGGGAACTTTGCACTGCACTATACAGGTTCTCTGTAACAGTAGGACTAGTGTAGCTTCACTAATTATTAGTCCAGCAAAATGGGTGAGACTAGTGCAAATCCCACTCTGCTTCCTGTTTGCAGAACTAAACTGTTTTGTCACCTACTACTTGTAGTTGATATATGTCTGTTGAGATTTCCATGCGAATAAATGGTACCTCCATGGCAACCAACAGCTAAACAGCATTCCACAGGATTGTTCTGGTTTTCCTACATGTATGTTTTCTACAACAACACTCCACCTCTGACCATAATGTCTGTAGTTAACATAAGAAGGGTTTTACAGTTGCCATGCGCTAATTTATCTCTGCTGCTCTCCTTCATTTTGTGACCAAGAACTTCATGGATTTTCCTGTTAGAAGCTATAAGCAGGCCTCCTAGAACCATTATCTGAATCAGCATGAATGAGAAAGTACACAACAGTATATTCTGTTTAAATCTACAGAAGTGATTCAATCCTGGTAAAAAAAACTGAGAAGTTAATTATTTATTCCCTCTTCAAGTGCATACTTTGATGCCTGGATATTGAAGGGGTAGTTCTCTGTAAGAAAATGGCACAAACATTGTAGATTTCACATCCTGAACTACAGGACAGACCATTTCATAAAATCAAATCTTGCTTTCTCTTGTTGTATAGGTACCCATTGCGTACAGTTTAAAAGAGCAGCCCCAGTTTCTGTCTATTTGGTCAGATTTCACAATAGGTTTTGTCCACAATAATCAAGCTTCTCCAACCTGGTACCCTCCAGAGATTCAGACAATAACCACTCACCTGGTCCTGTCCAGATATATGGGACTAGCAGGCTCATCATCACTCAGCCAGCATGCTGTTTGGGAATGATGAAAGTTGCAACCTAACACATCTGTAGGGTGCCAGGATGAACGGCAGACAGCTTGTATAACTTACCAGTTACACGAAGAAAGGATTCTTGATGCCCGTTCCCAGTTTCTGGAACTCCCAATGAAGAAAGATCAGGCTGGTCTCTTCCCTGTTATCCCTACACCTGCAGGCAAAAAATCTTTTTTATTCAGGCAGGGTTTTTGGCAGCTGACTGCTTGTTAAGGAAGAGGCTTGCTATCAGCTGGGTGCTGTGAGTTTCTCAGGCCCTGCTTTTAATTATTTTAAATTGGGCTTTAAATTTAATTTTCTTTCAATAATTAATCTTGCTTTGTAGTCTACTTCTATTCTCCTTCAGGGACAGTTTGAGGGGACGCACAGGGACTAGGTTTCACATGAAAGAAGGACCTTGAACCGGACACCCTTCCAGCTCTGCAGTTCTAAGATTTTCTAAGACACATGGAGGGGGTCACATTGACATCAGGACTGCCTACGCCTTTCTTTTAGAATCCTGCTGAGATGAGCGCCATAAACATGATGGGAGGACTAGTAATGGCAGAGTCCCTGCCATTACTGAGCAAAATGGTGGCAGTCACAGGCAGTATTAATGGTAACAGTCTAGTCTCAGGCCAACCATGTATATTTAGATCCCACTATGATGTAGTTGATAGAGTGGTGTTCTCTGGAAAACAGGGTTCAAATCCCCCCTCAGCCATGGAAACTCACTAGGGGAGTGGAATTGGTAAAACCACTCCCCAAAATACCTCATTACCTTGAAAGCCCTATTGGGGGTAGCTATAGGTCGGTTTGGACTTGACAGCACAGAACACACATATTTAGACCCTGCCTTTTTTCACCCTCTAAAGAACACAAAACTGGGCCCTTCGTCCCAAAATCATAGTATGTACATTGAAAATGAGATGGAGAAGCTTTAGTGGAGCTTACCCAAACAATATGCACATTTTTCTGTCCTTCAAATTGAAATACTGTATTCATTTCATCCATGCTACAGAGTGCTGGTCCCCAAAGTGGGAGACAGTCCCCTAGGAGAATGTGAACAAATTCAGGAGAAGGGAGGGGCATGGACATCGGGGCAGGAAAAGCTGGGGAAAGGGAGCTCAGCCAGTACTGGCTTGGTAAAGAGCAGCGGCGGTAGCAACAAGGGCAGGGTGGAGGACTGCATAAAGGTCATCAGCCTCAAGCGAAAGAGAAATGTTGCACCCACTCCAAAGAGTAGGTGAGCTGGTAGCCCTCAGGTGAAAGAGAAATGTTGCACCCAGCCCACTCCAAAGAGTAGGTGAGCTGGTAGCAGGCAGAGGCAGGCACTAGAGTGGTGCAGATCTTTTCTTTCCAGTTGCTGCTGCTTCCTTCAGTGGAGCAGGAGGAAGAAACATGCAGCAGCATAGCACCCCAAGTGGTCTAGGACAAAGATAAAGGGTGGTGAGATGAAGATAGCAGTAGTGGCCGTGGCTTACCACTGCTCACATGCACATCCATACACTACCTGCCATCCCATGCCACCAACACCCTCCTACTTCCTACTGTGCCTTGATTCAGAGGATTCCGCCACCAACATCCTCCTACTGGGGCCACCTTCCTACTGTGCCTTGATTCAGAGGATTCCCCAAAGACAGACCTGGGCAAAGTGCAGCCTGAGGGCGAGCCGCTCCTGTCCGGTCCGTGAACACAGTTCAGATTTTTCATGTGCCCGCCTCCATAGAAGTCAATTGCCCACCCCTGCCCAAAGAGAGTCTGCCTTTCATGGAAGGCATACAGCCTTCTGTGATCGTGGGGAAGGCAGTGCTAACACATGCCCAAGAAACACCTGTGGGTGGCTGGGGCAGCTGCCTTTGTGTCACCACCTAGAGTCATAGTTTATCTTCATTTCTCTCTCCATATTTGCCTGGGCAACAGAAGTGTGCAGAGGGCAGTATTTTATTTACTTCCTCCTCCTTTCCTGCCTCTGCTGCTCCTGTTGCTGCTCCCTTGCAAGACGGCATAGGAATGCAGACACTCAGCTCGCTCCTTCCATGCACAAATATGGTGGAATCAAAATAGCAGGTGAGGATAGGGAAGAACTGAGAGTGAAAGTCACTGTCCGACTAACATCTATGTGGCAGTAAGCCCACTCTGCTACCCCATGATAGAAGCTCCTTCACCTGCTCGCCTTCTTTTACCTGTTGCACATCCACCAAAGCTAAGTAAAGCTCTTTTCTTGGACTGT